AAAAAAAAAAAAATTTTTTTTAATATTTTGTAAAGATAAAAAGACCTTTAAATTCAAAAAATGTTAAAAATTGAAATAGAGACTTATTTTTAAAAACTGTTAAATATTATGTGAAATTATTCATATTGTTATAATTAGTAACTTTTTTTAATCAAAACAATAATTTTATAAATAATTTTTAAAATTTTTCTAAAAATATAAATATATTTTTCTATATAAATATAAATATTTATCTGATCTGAATGAATCTGATACTTTTTCTACTGTAAGATTCTTAATCATAATTATTATCATTCTTTTTTTTGCTAATATAAAATTCTCTTATGTTTATGTATGTCATTATGTTTATATCTTCTTTTTTATTAATAATTCTATATTTTTTTACCAATTAATTAAAGAGTTTGAAGTTTGAAGAAAGTATAAATATATAAATAATTGTAAAAATTTTTCTTGACAAATCCTCTTACTTTAATTTATTAGCACGTTTTCTCTGAATATATCATAAAACTTACATATTTTCAATAGATATATAGGGTATTATATATAAAAATATGGAATACTTTTAAAGAGTGGATTGTAGACATCAAAACGATAAAAAAAGTTCATATACACATATGTCTTTTTTTTCTATCAAGTCTTTTTTCTAATGCAGCATACAATTATTAGCTATTTCAGTAACACATTGTCGTGTCGCGGAATTAGTTCAAAATTTGATGAAATAATACATATTTGAAATAATACATATTTGTTTAAAATAAAGTTTTAATTAAATAACTTTCATATAAAATTAATTATATTTCATATAAAATAATATAATACAATAATAATAATCGAAATAATTTTATTCAAAGAAATTAATGTCAATAAAAAAAAAATCTAATATGCAATAGTAATATGAAAAAGAAAAATGCAATGCTTATATAATTTTTTTGTGTAGATATAAGATAATGGCATTATATTAAAATATAAATATTGAATTTCAATTTTTCTGTTTAATAATCTCATATCGATATAAAAAATATTAAATTTAAGTGAAATAGAGATAAAGGTTTTGTAATTGATACTTCAATTGATCTATAAATTTCAAATTGATTCGAGTATCATTAGTAACTTTTTTGTAGAAATATGAGAATAAGCAAGTTTATGTATAGAGAAATACATTCAATCTTTCCAATCTGAAATCTTATGGGAATGTGTTTTGATTTGTTAAGTAGACAGATTGAACAATTTAACTATGGATTTAAATAATATGTTTGTACCATAAAATAATTTATCTATGGATTTATATAAAGTGGTGTATATGTTAATATTCTGGAATTTACTAAAACTTATTCGAAATAAGAATTAAAAAGAGTTACATAATACGTATATTATATATATATATTACACTGAAATTCATTTGAAATAATCAATTGTATAGAAAAAAAGTATATAATTTTATATACAATTGATAATATATATTTTATCGAGAGAGTTACGCAAGCGACATTGCAATACGGCACTGGGTTCTGGCTCTTTCGTCATCTCGCTTTATCTAATACAAACTTAAAATACTTATAACTCCTTAATTAAGCCTTATTGAATATATGAACTTTTTTTATCGTTTTGATATCTAGAATCTACCCTTCAAAGGTGTTCCATATTTTTATAAACATTCTGTATATTTATTCGTATGACATCGACATTGGTCAAAAAAGATGCTTTTAATCATCATGTATAAAAAAAAAACAAGTAAAATACATAAAAAAATTATTATTTTATTTATAAGAAAAGAATTATAAATAGAAATTTTAAATTTTATAGAAATTACTATTTCAAAAAATTGGAAAATTTTTTTCAAATACTCTATTTTTGATTTTAAAAATAATTGTCTATGTTAACAAGATTACTTATACGTATATGTATACGTATAATAATCTAAAAAGAGATCTCAAAATAATAATCATTATTAAAGAAAAAATTTTCATCCACAAATTTTATAGTAACTTTTTTAGAATTGAATTTGTGAATTTAATGATTGAGTAAATGAGCATAAAAATGCATATAATTCTAAATATGATTCAATACATATTCAATTTTAAATATTCTTCTCAGGAACCATTTGCAATCGTTTATAAAATCGCTTATAAATTTTATAAATAGTTATTTATTATAACATATATTTTTTTATCATAAAAGACAAAAATTTCTTATTAATTATGTAATAAATAAATTAAAAATATTTCAAATGAAATTATATGCTTTGATGATTAATAAAGTTTCGTATGAATAAAGTTATAGAAAAATTTTACAAATCAATTCAATTTTTATAAGTGAAATCGCATTTTAATATAAATTGGAATATTTATTTTCTATATAAAAGTGTCAAAATATTAATTTATAAGATTTTATTTTAAATTTTTATATTTATTTTATATTAAATTTATATATTTTATGTATTTTACCTATTTTATATGGAATAGAATTAATAATTATTCTAAAAATTTCTATCAAAAAAATCATTAATAAAAATTATTTATTATTCATCGAGAATAATTTCTAATCTATATTTAAAAACAACTAAAAAAAAGTAATATGATTTATAAACTTTTATTAACAATTTTGATTAATAATAATTGTTACTTTTATATGCATATCATTTATTACTAGGATGGTCTATATATAGAATATTTAATGATTTCAAAATATTTGACACCATTATATATAATATCTTTTTTTTTTTTTGCAAATTTGTAACGAGATCAATGTTAATCATTTTTCTATGTTATTATCTTTTCGAATAAGCCAAAAATGAAAAAAATATTGAACAAAATGTAAAATAGAATTTTTGTCATTATTCATCAGACACTGACAATTTCCGATAAAAATATCTAATCTTATTCTGAATCTTACAGAATTTCATTTAATATTCTTAGCATACATAATTTTTTATATTGTAATATGATAAAATTTTTTTATTATAATTTTTGATTAACTACTTTCTATAATGGAAGAAAATAAATTACGGTATAGTATTTTCAGTAAATATTTTCTATATTTAAAAAAAAGAGTTATTGAAATAATTCCAACAGGTAAAAAAGTATTCAAATTTTATCTTAAAAATATAATTTAATTATTTTATGTTCCTAATTTTTAAAAAATTAATTAATTATGCGATATGTTCGGATTAGCAAAATAGTTAGTAGCAGATGACATAATGATTATATCATTAATTGCAGAATATATTTATATTTAATTGTAATGCTACAGATATGTGTTATTACAAATGAAATAACCAAATTTCTTAATAAGAATTTATCTATTTAAAATCTTTATTACATATATACTTAATTAACAATAATCAAATTTTGATTGAATATGCTCATTTTAGTCATCAAAAATCAAAATTAAAATTATCAGAATTAAAATATGCAATCAATCATTATTAATTATTAATTTTATATTTTTTTATGTTTATATTATTTTTCATATCAATGCCGAATTAGATTTGCAAATATTATTACTTGTTTATTGTAGTATGTACATATATATAAATATATGTATAAGTATATATATAATTAATTTTTTAAGTAAAATTTACAAACAATAATGATTAATAAATTTTTCATTAAAATCAAACAAAATTCCAATTCAAAAGGATTAAATGATTCTTAAATCTCTTACACGAAAATCTAAAACATTTGAAATCACCCATTAATTATCAAATATCGGGGTCAGTCCTAATTCATTTTTTTTTCTTTTTCTTTAAATTCCAAGAGAGTTTCCAACTGGAAATGGGAAAAAGGAATGAAAGTTGGCGAAATGTATCGTCGAGTTAAGCTAAGAGCAAAATTAATAGCCGACTTGTCATAACAGGCAACGATAGAAGAACCTGGCAGAGTCGAGAACCGGATTTTTTCTTCTCGGTGCTCTTAACCATAGATATGCATCGTGTCGAGCTCCAAGCAATTCCCCATGACGAATTTCCTACGTCAACTCAATTCTCTAGAGACAGAGTCTCCTTTGCCCGAATGACGTATGCAAATCAGCCCTCTGCACCATCCAGGAAGCTTAATACCTTTGAACCCCTGTGCTACCTTTGTGTCTCTTCTTTTTCTTCATGATTCTTTTATTTTACTTCAACGGAACTTCGTGCGTTTTGCTTTCCACGCGTACTTTTTTGAAATTTATTTTTAGATGTGTTTGCAGTTCTTTGTGGTTATTTCTTATATAAGTCACATATTATAATCATTTCATATGATATAATAAATATATATACATATATAATAAATATTTAATTATTTATTATATTATGTATATTTGTTTTATTTATTATTAGTAGTATAGTATATTATTATAATAGTATTATTATATTTTAATCTATGTATAATAAAAATTTTATGTATAATACATTAATATGTTATTTATATTTTTATAGATATGTTATTAATGTATAATTGAACAAAAAATAATTGTATATATAAAAATAAGTTTACAATTACAAATAAGAAAAAAAAAATAAAATTCAATTTCATTTGACTTTCAATCTCATTTGTAATTTGATTATCTTAAAATAAAGTTTAAAACGAAAAAAATTTTATTCTTTTTTTTATTTATTTATACATGTATTATCTTTTGCGTATTTATATTGTAATATATCATTTATGACTCTATTAGTCATAGAATATTAATATATTTTTGAAAATTTTTGAAAAGTTGATTCTAAAGACAAAAACAAACTCAAAAATTAATAAAAATATCTGTTGAGATATATTTATAAGCAATTTAAGTTTGTGTGAAATGAAGTTAAGAGAAAATAAAATGATAATGTAACGAAGATAGAACATCATCAATCTCAATTTATTTGAATATGTATAAAAAATATATGTAAATCAATTTTACTTTTTTATTTATTATAATAATACTTACTATAAACATATTAAACTTTCCATAAAAAGCAAACATAAATACAAATGTATTAATGTAATTTATTAGCGAATAGTTTATGAATATTGTATGCATTCATTGCATACAGTTTGCAAAAATATTTATAATACCAGCAAGCATAACTTAAAAATTATTGCGAATCAATTCTTGCGAATTGTTGAGAACTATTACAAACTGTTGCGCACTGTTTGTAATATAGATTCGGTTTTCTGTTTACATTTTTCTTATCATAAATATAATTTTTTATTATAAAATTTTTGAAAATCAATTTTACAAATTAAAATAAATATTAAATTAATTAATTTAATTACCTAAATTAATAATTTTTTACAATAGTTTAGTAGATTTTTATTCAATAATTTTATTAATCATATATTATCAACCTACATTAAAAAATGTATGATTTTATTTAAAAAACGAAATTGATTTTTTATTTTTCTTATTTACATTTATAAAATTAAATTTTATGTTATATGTTCATTTAAAAAATAATTATCAAATTTTTATTTTTCTTGCTTATACAATGCAATTTGAAATATATTTTTATAAATCTTTTATATTTTTATAACCTAAACAATTTACAAGTTAATTGAAGTTATTAAATTATTATGTATAAGTAAATAATTTTTGTATTTGATATTAGATTTTTGTAACAATAGTATTAGATATTGGTTTTTTATAACATCGAAACGATTACTATGATTTTAATTCCGATTTTTTGTATTTAGTTTGTAAGAAAAGTTGAATGATTCATTAAAATTATTATGATATGATTTATTGTATTTACTAAATTTAATATTTATTGTATATTTTATATAAAATTTTGAACATTTGTTATATATATTTATTTAATTTTCTGTTAAATATTTTAATTTTATTTTTATTGAAATATTTGATAAGATAACAATAGTTAATTTTAATTATGCGTAAAAATTTTTTCCTTATATAAATATAATTTTATATTTGTGGAATGTCAAAATGGATATATATTTTGTAAAAATATATTGTATAAATTATTTTAATTATTTTAATTATTGCATAATAGTTAAGGGAATTAGTAATAATTACTTGACTTTTTTTTAAATTCTTAAATTTTTAATTAAATTTTAATTTTCTAAATTATCACGGAGCTTGGTTTCAATTATAATCCAATAATCCGTGGCGAAAATATAACTAAATAAAAGTGAGAGAGAACTAATGATCATATTAAAGAACGGTTTTGAAGAATTATTGATGAATTATTATAGATTGCGTCACAATGCATAGTTATATAGATTCATTGTGACTGTTTTTTCGGAGATCGATCACAAAATATTTGATGTAAATGTAATTGAAATGATTATTATGTTATTATTGAATTTATTAGATTCTTATTAGATTCTATTAGATTCTTCTAGAAAAATATAGGAACCTTAATATACTATAAGAAACTTAATTATAGGAAATTTACTCACTCATAATTATTCTTAAGAAATTGGAAAATCAAAAACTATTAAGAATATTGAAACTATTGAGAAAGTGAAATTTAAATTTCACAAATCAATTTTGACATTTGTTTTTTATGTTCTATATTATTATTATATGTGCGAATAATGTATGTTTTTCAGTAATGTATCAATAAAATATAATCAAGGAAATATTTTAGAAAGAAAAAAATAAATAGAAAAACAATTAAAAGTTTTGATGATATATTATTAAAAATAGAAAAATACAAAGCAATAATAATAAAAATTAAATTATATAC